ATACAAGGTCTCGCTGTGTAGTTCAGGCTGCCTCGAACTCATGGCAATCCTCTTGTCTCAGCCTTCCAAGTGCTGGGAGTACAGACGTGCACTACTACACCTGGCAAACCTATTCTTTATCCCATTTCTTAGGTCAGTACCTGGTCTAGAAAACAGTTTGGTCCATGCTTGTTGAATGAGTGACTGAATAAATTACATACATAATAGGCAGGGTGTGTAGCACACGGGCATCACTGTGCAGTCTGCAGCTTAGAAATAGGTATGACAGGAACTATGAAATAGGTGCGGTTTTGAGACACTTGCATTTTGGGACCTGTGGCATGTGAAGCCTGTGTGTGTGTGTAGATGGAGCCTCCTGCCCTGGGGAAATCTTCCAGGTTCTAGTTGAGGTCAGAACGCGCCCTGCTCTGGGAAGGGTGAGCAATGCGAGGGCAGCAGCCTCTGTCTGCTTCTGGCCAGGTGCTACTTTTGCTGCTGGGCTTCCCAGGGACTCGGGGGCTCAGCCCTCAAGACCGGAGGGTGTCCTGGGGCTCTGTCCCATGAGGAAACCCTGTACACTCAGCAGCTGTTTACCTGCTTCACCACGGTGCAGGAGTTGATGATTATGTTTTAAATGAGTTAAAAGATCTTAAAGTGTAAAAAAAAAAATTCTGAAGTTCAGTGTAAGTTTAAAATTATTGTCTTCTCCCAAATTCAAAGACCCAATCCAAAAATGGGCATCTGAGATGAATACACCCTTCTCAGATGAAGAAATACTAATGGTGAATAAATATATGGAAAAATGTTCAACATCGCTGGTCATTCAAGATGCAAATTAAAAAAACACTGAGATTCCATCTCACCTCAGAAAGAATGGCTTTCATCAAATCAACCCATAAGAAATGCTGGAGGAGCTGTGGGGCAAAGGAACCCTTCTCCACTGCTGTGGGGAGTGTAGACTGGTGCAACCACTGTGGAAATCAGTGTGGAGAGTCCTCAAAAAACTAGGACTAGAGGTTCCTTTGACCCAGCCATTCCCTTCCTTGGTGTCTTCCTGAAAAAATTAAAAGCATTGTACCACAATGACATATGCACACCCATGTTTATTGCAGCACAGTTTGTAATAGCTAAATCTTGAAAACAACCCAAGTGCCCACCAACTGGTGAGTGGATAAAGAAGTACATGGAGTACTACTCTGCCATAAAGAAAGATACGCTCAAGACAGTTCTAGGAAAATGGATGCACCTTGAGTCCATACTCTCAAGTGAAATAAATTGGACATACATGTGTGAATACTGCATTGTTTCTTTGGTGTGAGAAACTGAAAGTGTGAATAAGGACCAAAATGTATTTTGAAATAGGAGGAAAATGTTCAAATGGGGAGGGAAAAAGAGAGGGTAGGGGGAAAGGAAAGGAGAGAAAAAGAAAAAAAATGAGAAAAGAAGGAAAACATGGAAGCAAAGCTCTGTAAATGGGGAGAGGAGGAGGGGTTGAAGGAGGGTAGGGGGGTGGGAGAGACCAAGTTATTTCACATACAGGTACAAATTCTCTGATGAATGTGATCATTGTGTATACCTGAAATATACCAATAAAATCTAAGGTAAAAAGTAAAAATATTTGCTTTTTTGAACTGTTTGATATTATCTGTCTTGCAAAGTCTCAGTAGTTCATACGTTTTGTCTCTTTGAGTATAGATAAGCTTCAGTTCTTTTAAATCCATCCTTTTTATGCTGACGCATCACCAAGTAAATTAAGACACTGTGATAGTCTATCTCTAAATCTTTTGGGGTGTAGATGTAAAAAACAGAAACTTAATGCTAGGTAGCCTGAGTAACATGACTACTCCTAAGAAGTCTTTAGTGTCATCTAATTCTTTGTTCATTTTAAAATGAACCCCATTGTCCCCACATTGCCACTTATATTTTGTTTGTTCTAATTAGGATCAATCCAGGATCATGCAGGCATCTTGTTATTATGTTCCTTAAGATTAATTTAATCTGAAAGATTCAAAAGGGAATGATTCTGCCTTGCAATTGCCTTATAAGATGTTTCAACTTCAGATTTGTCTGATTGTCTCTAAGGAGTGTTTTCAATTTACTTATGTGCCCTCTGTGTGTCCTGGAATCTGGTCATTAGATCTAAAGTCTAGATTAGCACACAGATGGAATCACAAGAATGCAAGGTGTATGTGTTTCATGATGCACATGGGATGAGCTCTGTCACCCCTGCCGACAGCGGTGCTAACATCCATCACTAGGGTAGAGTGCTGACCCTCTGGTCCTTCCCTATAAAGCTCCATTTCGCAACAAGAGATATTCCTTGTGGTTTCATTTTGACATTATACCGTATAAATGTTCATTTTTCTGTCATCCCCACACTAATGCACTTAACAGTATTTGATAATTATTCCTTGAATCAGAAACTTTGCACAGCTATCATTTTTCTAATTCTTTCTCTTTACATTAGCTGACTTTTGATTAAACAGCTCTTCTTCATCAGCTGGGACTAATTGGTGCTCTGGAAGACAATTCCATTAGAAAGACAGGTTAAATATTGAATTGTTTACTCTTTTTTATTTTAAAGAGAATTAAAAAATAACAAAAGAACAACATAGATAAAAACAAAGCAGCACAAAAACAATACAAATGATACAGGGTTTCAAAACAAAATGGTAGGGATTAGCAGTGGTTGTTATATTACATATTGTTATCTTCAACAAAGTTGCTCAGATTACCAGATGTAAGAATGGAAGATTGATCAAACCATTAAAGAGAATAAAAAATAATAAAATAACATTAGACAGGTATAGCGCATCACTAGACAAGATGGTAGGAATTCACCAATGGTTGTTATATTGCATATTATTGTCTTCGAATTAGTTGTTCAGATTTCCAGATATAAGCATGCAACATTGGTCAAAAAATTTAAGCATTAACTATTCCTTTCAATAAACCGATGGACATCAGAAGTGCAGTTATCCTAGCTATCCTTTATACATATATATATTTAGAGAAAAGACAAACTCGAGGCTTTTATAGATAAATGGATGCAACTAGAGACCATGCTTATAAATGAAATGAATCAGACCCGCATGTGTAAACATCATATTGTCTCCCTAGTGTAAGAACCTGAAAGAGTAAATAAAACCCAAAAGGTACAATAGATACTGTGAAAGAGAAAGAAATTGCTCAAAGGGGAGGAACAACTGGGATGAGGGAAAGGAGAAAAAGAAGGAAGGGAAAAATATATGAATTGTTTACTCTTTGATTCCCACTTTTAAAGTAAGAAATTGGTTATAGTTGATTCCTTAAGTGGGGGCAAATGAATTTTTGCTTTTAGAAAGTCTTATGTATTAATGGATTTTTGTGACTTGAATGTTTTAATACATAATGATATTTATTCTTTTAATGTTCCACTTACGTTCGGTTTATTAAAATGTTAGCCAATAATAGTCCCTTGTAATTGGCTCCTAGGCTGATTAATGTATCTCTACTAATATTTGGATACTTCTTTGCACACCAAGATGTGTAGGCTTATCTTGTAACTTCTTTGTTACAAATGTCAGTCAGCCACTTTGCTCACAAGACCTGTTCCTTTCACTGGGAGTAGTATTAGACTCCCAAATCCTGGCATTTGCAATATTTATTGGTACTAGAATGACAGTGTTTATAGGCCTTTTCAGTGGCTTGTTTGGTTTTTGAGTTTTGATACTAAAAGTTTGGATAATGAAAATTCAGGCACTAAAGGATGTCAGCATTTTGAAAAACAATGGGATGTACTGTATGCTTGAACATTGTTGAAGGTAAGCCTGGTGTGGTGGCACACATCTGTAATCCCAGCACTTGGGAGTCTGAGGCAGGAGGATGGTTGTGAGTTTGAGATCAGCCTGGGCTACAAAGTGAGTTCAAGACCAGCCTGAACTGCATAGCGAGTCAAAAAGACAAAAAAGTTGAAAGTAGATTTTTAAAATATTCTTGTGTAATACTTATAAGAATTAGTTCAATTTAACCATTCTACATTGTAGATATATATGACTTGTCATGTTGTACGCTCTAAATATATATAATTTTTACTTGTCAATTAAAAATAAATGCAAAATTGATGGGTTTCACAGTTATATTTCCAGTTCAATTCAAACATTATTACATTCTTTTGGTTTTATTTTTTGTTGTTTTGAGACAAGGTCTTGCTATGTAGTTCAGGATGGCCTTGAACTCACTATGTAACCCAGGCTGGTCTCAAACTCATGGTGATCCTTCTGCCTCGGCCTCCCAAATGCTGGGATTATAGGCGTGGTCCACCACACCTGGCCATTATTGTTTTCAGTAGTTAGTTGATTTTATAATTGTATCTTTTCTTTTGCACTGAAAATCCTAACCACCAATAACAGACATTGTTTCTTCTAACCATATAAAGAAAATAACTTCAAAGTAACATCAATATTACTATTAATATGCAACATAGCAACCATTGTTGAATTCCTCTCATCTTGTTTGGTGAAATTCTGTATTGTTTGTAATTTTTTTGTTTTTATTTTTTTATTCTCTTTAAAGGTTTGATTAATATTTCATTCTTACATCTGGTAATCTGACCAACTTCAATGGAGATAAAAATATGTAATATAACAACCTCTGTTAATCCCTACCATTTTATTCTGAAACCCTGTATCATTCTTATTGTTTTTGCTTTGTTTTGTTTTTGTCTATGTAGTTGGCATTTTGCTATTTTTAAAATTCTCTTCAAAATAAAAACAATAAAACTAATACTAAAAACAAATGAAGTTTAAAATTTTCATTAGAAGGGGCTGGGGATTTAGCTCAGTGGCAAAGCGCCTGCCTGGCGAGCACAGGGTCGTGAGTTCAGTTCCTGGTACTGGAGAAAAACCAAAAAAATAAAAAAATAAAATTTTCATTAGATGTTTTTGTATAGGTTGACTTATTGGAAGGATTAAATATTTACATGTTGATTTCATTCAATTAATTTTCTTTGAAATATGTCTTCTGTTTTTTTTTTATTATAGGTTGATCATTTTGGATTTTATAACCCCAAAACTTTTAAGCAGCGTTACTTAATATCTGATAAACACTGGAAGAAAGAGGGTGGATCAATACTTTTCTACACTGGTAATGAAGGGGACATTGTCTGGTTTTGTAATAATACGGTATGTGCAGATTTGTGAAATTCCTTTGCTCATACTATTTGTCTTTTATTATGATAAACTACAAAACATATTTTGCTGGATAAATGACCCAAGTATTACTGTTTTTTTAAGTGGTAGAAGGATTGAACCTAAGACTTTTGTACATCTCCAGGCCTTTTAAAATTAATTAACTAATTAATTACTTTTTTGAGATAGGGTCTCACTAGTTTACTAAGTTTCCAAGGCTGAGTTCAAACTTGTGATTCTCCTGCTTCAGTCTCCCAGAGTACTAGGACCACAGGTGTGACCACCATGCTGAGCTAAACATTAGAATTCTCTTTTTTTTTTTTTTTTTTTCTGTCTTTTTGAGACAGGGTCTCACTACGCAGTTCAGGCTGGCCTTCAGCTCACTTTGTAGCCTAGGCTGGCCTCGAACTCACAATGATCCTCCTGCCTCAGCCTCCCGAGTGCTGGGATTACAGGCGTGAGCCACCATGCCAGGCTTAAACATTAGAATTCTTCATTATAAAGTTCTTTAAAAGAATAGAAAGACAAACTTGCTAGTAATAGAAAAACAGCAAAACTGCATGGGTAGACAGCTCACCAAAGAACACATACAGATATTCAAGAATCTTGCATATTCAAATGAAAGGGAATTACAAATGAAAAGAATGAAATACATTTCTTGGAAAATTGAATTAGAATTTTTTTTTAAATACCAGTTTATTTCTAGAGCAAACAGGATATGATGGAAACAGGCACAGGAGTATTATTGCGTACAGTTTGTATTGATTCTGACTTCTGGAAGATAAATTCCAGGGTAGGAATCTTTATGTTTATTCAGTGTTGTATTTTCAAAGTCCAGGAGTATATTGGTCATATAGTAGTGGTCAATAAATATGTGTTATATGTATGAATTATTAAAAGCAAAACAAAGCCAATGCAAACAAAAAATATGCATCTTTAACTGTCAAATAGGAATGGGCAGATTATTAGGTTTAGCTTTCCAATTCTACCATTTTTTTTTGTATTTGTGAGATGAAAATTGTATAACTCAGTAGCTTGCTTTTTCTGTCACCTTTTATAATACTTGAATCCATTAACAGCATTTAATTTAGAAGGGCATATGAACAGAAGACAGTGTCCTTTTCAATGTGTTAATGATCTGACTGGAAAATGTCAACTTTCTACCAAAAAGCTGGTCTGTGAATTACTATAAAGTGGGATTAACTGCATATCTCCAAAGCCAGGATCTGGAGTGTGACCTGGTATTCAGGAGGCTTCAGTAAATGCTTGTTGAACTGAATTGAAACTAAAGATATGAATCCAACGGTACTATTATTGCAGTCCTCATTTCTGATTATGTATTTCCTGTGGATATTAAGAATCCAAATACATTCATTGAAAATAAAATAATTCCATCAGAAATGAGATCCTGGGAGGTCTGTGTCTTTTAGATCAGTGACAAGTGAACTCAGGATCTCTTTTCTGTTGCATTCCTGTTCCCTTATTCTTTGAAACCACAGCAGCCACTTTGTCTCTTTTCCTTGTGTGACTTTCCTTTTATGCCAGGGTCTCAGGACAGCTTCTCCAGTCCAGTGATTTCCCACTTCGTGTTCTTCTTTATTGTAGCAGCAACTGTTCTTGTTTCCAGTAAACACTGCTGCAAAGCATTTGTGCAGAACCAGGCTGGCTGCAGGTCCCTCTGTGAGGGGTGGTAGAAAGGAGGAGCTCCTCGGTACAAGAGCAAGTTCCAGAGAACCTAGCAGGGGTGGAACCTGGAGGGGCAGATCCTGGCCCTGGCTCATCTCACGCATCTTCTTTACTTACTAAAATATTCCAATTGTACACTCACTTCCAGACATTCATTTTTTAAGAGGCAGTGTAGCATAGTGGTCAAGAGCAAAGACTTAACCAGAGTGACAAGATTCGAATTCTGGTTAAATGGATATAATAAAAAATACCTCGTTCAGAGAGTTGTTATAAAGACTAAATAAGATTAAGGTAAAATATAAGATTAAGGAACTTGTAGACACATAACATTAATATATTATGTGGACCTCTTTTGAAAAATAATACTTCTGAAATAGATGCAGGCAGATAATCACTTACTACATTGTGAATCAGTTCAGTTAAATTGCTTCCCTTCAGAGCCTGGAGCCAAGTCCACAGAGATCGGAATATATTTAAGGATGTTTCTTACTCTTGAGACACTCACAGTCTCCCAGGGCAAGAAACACATGTAAGCAAATGTTACGGCGTGTTCATAGAGATCTATATGTAGCACAGAAGGGAGATCAGAACTGCAGAGTGAGGCAGGCAGGAAAAGGTGTGACTGGATTTGTAGATGCGTGACAGGGGATGAGTAGGTCCTAGAAAGAGAGCATTGTTACTGAAATCGTCACAGGTAGCAGGTTAAATAATTCTCCATCCACATGCATGCAGCTTTTTTTTTTTTTTTTTTGGTGGTACTGGGGCTGGAACTCAGTGCCTTGTGCATTTTGGATGTGCACTCTACCACCGAGCTACTTCTCCCATGCAGTTCTTTCAATCATTCACTTACTGATCACAACAAACACAAACATTTTAAGGTTCTTAGTTCTTGTTTGGGAGTGGTTACATAATAAAAAGCAACAAGGTGCATTTAGGAGTGGCAGTTTCGTGTATGCCAGATCTACTCCACCTGCGGTTGCTTAGAATGCTTTGTTGAGAAAGATTTTTGAGGCCACAATCAAGGTAAGTGAAGAAATTCACTGAATGATTAATGATCAGCCATAGGCATGTCAACCAGGCAGCCTAACAGCACTTGGTGAATGTACTCTGGAGCCACATAGTCTGTCTTTGAATCCTGGCTCTGCCATTTTACTCTTGCGTGAAGTTTGAAGTTCATTTCAAGTCTTGGGCTGCAGTGTTCTTATCTGTATAATGGGGACAACCAAAGTGCCTGTGTATTATTTGTTGTGATAATGTAGTGAATTCATACAATGAAGTTAGAATAGTGTCTGACATATGTATGAGTTTAGAATAGTGCTTGATATACATAATGACTCAGTATTAGCTATGGTTAGCTACTATTTAGTTTCCAATAAATAAAATTAATTTAAAACCCCAAGGGAGTTTAATCTGACTGTTTACATTGGTTTCTCATTGTTGTTGTAAATACCTATGCATACGTAGCTAACTTAGGTGTCTCTAGCAGTGTCCTAGCCCCTCTGACCAGTGCAGTCTGAAGACTGCCTGAGAGAGAATGTTGGCTCTAGGTCTAGAGGCTCTCGAAAGGAAGAGTTGGATGACTGAGTAGTGAGGAGAAGCTGGGACTTATTTTTGATTCACTCTAATACAGTGCTCAATGGTGCAGCTTTAAGAGAACCCTTTCTGGTCAGGGTTAACACCTATTTCATACGCTTTGCAAACAGCTTCCATGATGTTCGTTTGCATCCAATTTTATCCTGTACACTGTTCCTAGGGGTTCATGTGGGACGTGGCTGAGGAGCTGAAAGCCATGCTGGTGTTTGCCGAGCACCGGTACTATGGAGAATCCCTCCCCTTTGGTGCTCACTCGTTCAAGGTGAGTATACTTCTAACTTTTATCACTGTACTTTTTTTTTTTTTTGAGATAGGGTCTCACTATGGAGTTCAGGCTGGCCCTGAACTCACGGTGATTCTCCTGCCTTAGCCTCCCGAGTGCTGGGATTACAGGTGTGTGCCACCACGCCCAGCCATTTTACCTTTTTAAGTTTAGAATGCTTTTTACATCCATGTCAGTAACGTATGCTTCATCCTTCCTTTCTGTGTGATGTGAGTGGATGGGGTCCGGCTCAGTGCTCAGGCCAGCCTGGGGCAGGCGGTGTTGCTCAGGGGCTGCAGAGATGTGCAGAGCTTTGCCCTTGTTTCGAAAGTGCCAGGGGACAGTTTGGTTTTATAAACCATACACTTTAATAATTGGGCCTGCTCCTGGAAAAAGTAGAATGAGCACACAAATACTTGCCGAATAAGAGGTTTTCTTAAATAAAATATAATCAATAAAGTAAGGGCAAATAAGCTGTCTGGTACAGCGAGGGCTTTCCTCTTTATGGGAAGCTCTGGCCTTACCACAGACTCCACACCCGGTGAGCCAGGCACTTTTTCCTCAACTGCTCTCACTTATGTTCTATCCTTGTGCTTCTGGTTGTAATAATTTGCTACCAGTTGTATTACTTAATATTTCACTTTATAAGGTATAAAGCTCACTTTTAAAACATTTTATTTTTATTAGTGTATGTTTGCAGTACATCATAACTGTATATATCACTGTGGGCAGTAGTATGCGTACAATTCACATCTTAATCCTTTTTACTTCCTTTTCCCCTTCCTTCTTTCCTCCTTTCCCTCCAACTCTTGGGCCCTTTCTTCTTTGCAAACTTGGTTTTCTTTGAACCGGGGCTTTACGTACTAATTACTTTTCCAGATTACATTAAACTCAGTTGTTGTACTAAAATAAAATGTTACATTAAAAATGTTAATGAACTACCTATGATCATCTGGCATGCCACCAGTGTACCTGTGCAATGCTTGGAGAGCCCTCAGAAGAACTTGGGGCAGTTTTTTACAGTGCCTATTTTGAAAGGAGTTTTAAATTTTTATTCTCAATTCTCAGAGGCTTTATTATTTTATTACAAATAAAATCAATAGTGATAAAATAAAGAAAAAAAGAAAAACAATGTCCTTGTGTGATAAATGAGAAGTAGAGGGATTTGCTGATGTTTGTTGGGCTGAATGGGAAACTCTGATCTTTAGCTCTATACATGACAGATCTGATTAGAGAAACTGACAGATCCTAAAATCGTTGAGAAGCAGCCAGCTTGCTACAGATGGAAACAAAACTCTGACCGTAATTCATGCTGTAGTAGCGAAATGGAGCCTAGGGCTCTCTCGCATAAGCTCTTTCCTGTTTTGAGCTCATGGAATTTGTCAGTCCTATGAAGGCAGGTAGTATCTGAGGATACTCACCTCTACACAGTGCCATAAATACTGGAGGATCCTTACCTCTTTTGTCCATAGGATTTAGTTTATCTTTGACTACATGGTGGGCATTTTAAAGTGTCAAGATTTGAAAGAAAAGTTCTAGTCTAAAGTCGTCTAGTATGCTTAGTTTTATTTTTTATCACATTTGCTGTTGAATGTTACTTTGATTTTATTTCTGTTATTTCTACAACTTCAACAAGGTCTTTAGAGAATAGCATTTAATAGAAATGACTTTTGAAAATATATTATGTTCTTCCACAAACTTAAAATCGCTTTCATGAGTTGTTTAAATCAGCACAGCTATTGCTGTGACTGGGATTTTAGCTCAGTTGCCTAGAAATTCTGTCTGGAGAAGAGTTTATCTGACTCTGGCTCTTTTCTGGGCCTGTGCTAGGCCTAAGCTGGTGCACATTTATACTCATGTTCTTTGTTATTTTTCTTTAGGATTCCAGACACTTGAATTTTCTCACATCAGAACAAGCTCTGGCTGATTTTGCAGAGTTAATCAAACACTTGAAAAGAACAATCCCAGGAGCTGGAGATCAACCCATCATTGCCGTAGGGGGCTCTTACGGTGGCATGCTTGCAGCCTGGTTCAGGATGAAATACCCTCACATGGTGGTTGGGTGAGTGTGTTTATGCTGGACCTGATTGTGGAGGAGAACTTCAGAGATTTGTTTTGGATAAAACATACTCCATTCTCTTGTACTGAGATTTTTAGTTTCTGTCTCATTAATAGATAAACATTGTTTCTTATCCTTTTTGTTCAGTCTCAGTTTCAACTTTAAAACCTGAGTTAAGTAAGTTACATAGTTCCTTCTCCTCTCCTCTCTTGTTTCTCCACTTAGAGCTCTTGCAGCTTCTGCTCCCATCTGGCAGTTTGAGGGTTTGGTTCCTTGTGATGTGTTTATGAAGATTGTAACTACAGATTTTAGGAAAAGTGGTCCCAGCTGTGCAGAGAGTATCCAGAGGTCCTGGGATGCTATTAACCGATTCTCGACTACCGGTAAGCTTTAAGTAAGAGAGTGGATTGTGCTTGTTCCTTTTTACCTTTAATTATTTGTTAAATTTAACACTTCCACTTTTTTTTTTTTTTGTGGTACTGGTGATTGAGCTCAGGCCCTTGTGCAGTCCAGGCAAGCACTCTAATTCTAAGTTATAGCCTCAGATCAACAATTCTACTTTTTAAGCAATATTTCATTAAAGGAAAACATATAGAAAAAAACACAAATTGAGATGCATAGCATAATGAATTTTCACGAAGAGAATACTTTGTGTAATTAGCATCCAGGTCAAGAAAGTATCATCAGGGTGAGGTGGGGTGCATGCTTCTAATACCACCTATTTAGAAAGCTGAGGCAGGGGCATCATGAGTTGGAGGCTAGTCTGGGCACCATTGTGAGGCCCTATCTCAAAGAAAAAAAGTCATGTTATTTCTAACACACACTCACACACAACCAAACAAAAAAGAAGTAATGAAAAAAGGATAAACACCAGCATCTGAAAAATTCTGTAATGCCTTTTTAAATCAGTATTCCCACGCTGTCCAGCTAATCACTGTTCTGCTCCTTCAATCACAGATGATTTCTTTAATAATTCGAGTTGCATAATAAGTGCTATTTTGTCTCTTACCTTTTGCTAATTCCTGTATTTTTGATATGATGTATCTATTTGTTTTATGTAGTTTTAGTTTATTCTCATTGTTCCACGATATCCCTGTTTATTTATTTCAATAGGATCTTAAAGCAGTGGAATAATGCAGAATACTAATTCTGGTTCATTCTGTGAAAATAGGCAACATGATATTATCCAGGTGCTCTAAAAATATTTTATCAAATGTTGAAACCATTCCTGGACAAAGTGATATAGAAAATTTAATGTTTTGAATACTGAGGGAAAGATGAATGGCCTGTAAAGATCTCTGTTCAGCAGTACATCTTAGATCGATGTCATTCTATTCCCAGGGACTGGCCTGAGGTGGCTGACTCAAGCCCTTCACTTATGCAGCCCCCTAACACTGGATGACATCCCGCATTTGAAAGAGTGGATTTCTGAGACATGGGTGAATCTGGCTATGATGGACTACCCTTACAAGTCTAACTTTATGCAGCCCTTGCCTGCTTGGCCTATCAAGGTAACAGGAAAGCGTCGTCTCATCATTTTTAGTAACATATTTTTCATCTGACTTTTTCATGTGCTTCCCTGACAACATAGAGGTTCTATGGAGTTAGTGACATCTGGATCGAAGTTGTGGGTTTGGTCACTTCATGATTATGTGACCTTGAACCCATTCCCTAACTTTTCTGAAACACAATTTTCCCATTTGACAAATGGAGATAAAATGGATCAATTAATCAGTTATAAGAGCTGTATGAATTGGAAATATGACCAATGGTTAATGGGGTAATTATTATGTGCCAAATTCTGGTCTGGGCCAGGGATATAGCTCAGCGGTGTGGTGCCTGCTTGGCAAGCGCGAGGTCCTGAGTTCGATTCCTGGTACCAAAAAAGAAAAAAAGGAAAACACAAAGACCAAATCCTGGGCTGTGCACTGTGGTACATATTTAATCTTTGAGAAATATTCCTAAAGCCTAGATCTATGTAATATATGTTTGACGCTAATAAATGGCAGCTGCTATCCTAGTACTACGATTAAGTGAGCTGCTATTGCCTTCCAAGCACTGCACACAATTTTAAAGTGATTGCCATGCTGTGTGTGGCCGAGTGGAATGAGCACCAACTTGATGACGAGGGTTTGGCCTGAACTGCTCCCTCCACGCTGTATGATTGTGGACAAGGTGATCTTCTTCCCTGAGCCTCCAGGTCTTCCTCCACAGCACAGGAGAGCAACAGTTACTTAGAGTTGTGCTGAGGACCAAGTAAATAGCTATGACACACTTTGTGAAGTATTGAGATGCAGTGTATCAATTTTAGGTTCTTTTATAATTGTGAGGTTCATGTCAAAATTATTTATTGTGTATGTATTTTTTTGTGAAGAACTTTCCTGTTTTAGAAACAAAGGCTAGCTAACTTGAATAAGTTTGAGAATATAATTGACTCTATACTTAGAATGGGTGCAAAATTAAAACAGAATTGGTAATATGACAGTCAAATTTCCTAAGTACTTTTTATTAACTGTCCTTTTGGACTGTTAAATGTACATGTTGCTGAGTACTTTGTAACTGAAGTGAAAAAAAACCCTTTCCCTATTAGAATTTTTGTAATGTACTAAGTGTTTGTACATAGCAGGCTGGAGGAAAACATGCATTGAATTAAATTGGATACTATTGATAGTAGGAAGTTATTAAAAAGAACAGATCTCTTTTATGTAAGAAAACTTTGGTCCATATATCAGATTTAACTGTACTCTATCGGTGTATAAAGTGAGAAATACATTTACATCTTTATTCCTACTTGATGAATAAGTGAGTTGTCAGGTGATAAAAATAATAGAGAATTCTCTTATTATTTTGAGCAGAGATGGGCAAACTTTATTCATAAAGGATTACATTTTAGGCTTTGTGGACCATATCATTTAGGTAGCATGAAAGCAGCCATAGAAGATCCATAAACAAATAAGGATGTTCAATAATATTTTATTTATAAAAACAGGTGGCAGGCTGCATTTGGCCTTGGAGTTGTGGTTTGCTGACCCCCACCTAGAAAAAGAGCCCACAGTATAAAACACTTTAGTGTTACTTGGTTTATCATGATTTCAGGCCATGGGCAGTCTAACTCTAGTTCTCTTCCCATTAATTTCATATTCCTTCTGAGGTGTTTTGCTGTTGTCTTAAATGTAAACAAATATTTTCTTCTTTAATCTCACAAATAATGACTTGAAATCTTGTTGTCTTTTTTATATGGCAAGTCCTGTTATCTTTTACGTGCATCTGTATCTATCTATATAATGAAAGTTTATTATTAAGGCAAGATAACTTTATACCTTTCCCCCCATGATCACTCTCTCCTTTTTTTTTAAATCCAGAACTAGTCCTTGTCATTTTCTTCAGGTATTTCTTATCAACGTTGTCCTTTTTGTACATATTTTGGGAAATCTTTTTTTTCTCTTTTCTGGTGCTGCTGGGGATGGAATCCAGGGCCTCACACATGCTAGGCGTCACGGAGCTGTACCCCCAGCCTAACACTAAGGATCATTGAGCTCTACCCGCTAAGGCTTCTTGATTGCTTAAAATAATTTATGGTCCTGTTTCCTGCCTGCCGCCACCCGAAGTAATCCCTCTCGTCTCTTGCTTCAGAAGATGCATTGCCTCTGTTTCAGTTTCCTCCCATGGTGACTCCCCTATCTGATTTTCAGGAGTTTTCACTATGTCTTCCTCCTTCTCCCTCCCTCTTTTAGCTTCAGATCACTTTCTTTCTCTGGCCATTCTGTTTCTCCTTTCTTGACCCCCTCTCTGTTCTCGCAGCCCACTAATCCCTGGAACACTACCCGGTTGGGGACCGCTCTTTCACTTGGATAGTTCCATTTAGCCAGGACTCCTCCTCCCTCTGATACACTTCCTCCTTTTTAAAGGGTGACAAACAGCCGTCCTTTTCTGAGTCTGTAACTCAGGCTTAGGGTGGTGAGATAATATGTAACAGTTGGGTTATGAAGAAAAAGCAGGTGATCTCCAATTCTGCCTGGACCTCATACAGTTTCGAAGGATCCACGGGCAGTGACTAAATGCCATTTTCCGTGTCAATTCAAGTATCTTTCTTTTTAATTTGTCTTTGGGCTTTGTACGCTCAGACTCCATTTGCTTTTGTTTACCGTTAGCAGAAGCTGCAACATTCATGCAGAAATAATCATGGACTTGGCCAGCAGAACACAAGGAAGAAGCAAAAGGGAAATAGAAAACCCTCTTCTGTCTGCATAAAAATCACTATCTCTTCTCGGCTCCAAGAGAAATTTAAAGGATATAGAAGTCTTTAACTTTTGGAATCATTGTTTATCTGATAACTCGTCAAATATTTTGGCTTAGTTTTCTGACCATGCAGACCGATAGAGTGAATAGTAAGATGTAAGATGGGAAGTCTCTTCCGTTTGTCTTGGTGTCTGATAATGTATGCGACCTCTCTGGGTGGTTTAAGCGGTTTAGGTGCATTCTGTGAAAGGGAGCTTTTAATGACAAAACTAATGTGATTATCTGAGTGAGTGTGAGAGGGCTAGTGAAGCCTTAGAGAAAGAAAATCTGTTAGAAAAGCTGAATGTATCTGCTTAATCCTTTTTCTAATGTGGATGGACCATGCTCTCTGAGAGGAGGTTGGTCTTTTTTTTTAAAAACCTATCCTCTTTCCTTCCTCTTAAAAAAAATTCTCTTTGCTTTCTTTTTTTTTTTTTTCCTTTTATTTAAATGTTTATCCTCATAGGTAGTGACACTTAAAAGCTTTTAAAGAAATCATTATCTTTACTTTCATATGTGGGGTCAGAGGTCAGAAACTAAATATTTGTGTATCTGACAAGCTTGGTTCCCATTTACATAAATGTTGTACTTCCTACACTATTTCTATACTCTTTAAAACTAGAATTATTTAAATAGATTTCCAATTTTTTTGAGTATTTCCTGAGTGTTCACTTTTACACATGGATGTAGAAAATGAATTAAGTCTATCCATATCAAGTGTTGATTCTTTACCTCATATTGCTCTACATTATTTTATTTAATGTATTATTATTATTTAAAGGCCCTGGAGAATAAAACCTGTATCTTACCCCACCCCCGTGGGGTGTTACTGGGGACTGAACTGAGGGCTTTGCACATGCTAGCCAAGTGCTCTGCCACTGAAGCTATAACCACAGGACTTTCCACTTTATAGTTTCCTTTTTTACTGTTGCATATTTTTAAGTTTTTATATTACCGCAGACCCCGTTGTAAGTTTTTACCCGAAACAAATATACAAAAATATACAGACAGTCAAAGAATAAAAAAAAAAACTTTTTTTAGAAAAGTGAGCATGAGGCTACAGGCAAATTTAGGCATTGTGTGATCATTTTTCTCCTATGTTATAACTTTCAAAGTTGAGTACATGTACTATAGTGGTTGAGTGAGTCTGCATTTGAATCCCATCTGACACTTCCTTGATGTGTAGCTTTAAGCAGTTTTCTTAACCTCTCTGTGCTTTAGTTTCCTAGCTTGTAAATGGGGAAAGTAACAATTACAATGTTACTGAATATTTCATAGAATCTGGTATATGCTAAGCACCAAATTGATGCTAGTTATATAATAATAGCAATGTCTTGTTATTGTATAATATCAGGAAGGCAGATTATTTGTGGTCAGAGTCTTGATTCAGAGCTTCTGAATTTTGTAGCCAGACCTCTCTGAGTATATGTTGCTCCCTTGGTCATAGTGGAAAATATACTAAGATTCTAGGACTTTCAGGAGTTGTACTAGCAATGTCAGCTCCAGCTGTTCCCATTCCAGTGAACTCATGGCCTTATTTTAAAATTATTTAGAAGAAGCCACAAAATAAAAAGTATAATACAGGGGCTATCTGAGTGTTGTCCCTCATCAAATGGACAATTCTATAAGTTATTGGGGTTAAGCAGAGGTATTATATGCAGCCATACCAAAATTGCCTATATTTGTTTGACCTACAGATGTGGCAATTTTGTATGGTTCAACTTAATATTTATGTGTCTTATTCATCCTCCACATCTGAAAAAAACATGTGAATATCTCCTTTTGAATTACTATGGTCTTTGAAATAGCATGAGAATAGTGTTGTGGTCTTGCCAGTATGACTCTGGTATTTTGTTTTTTAAGCTTTAATTTTACTACCAAAATTGCTAAGGTAGTTCATAGACATATGTAGTGAATATGCTTCTTTCTGCCAGAGGATGATGCTTGCAGAATGTTTGAGTTAGGGAAGAATCTTAGAAACACCTAAAATAAAGTTCTCATCATAAATTTACAAATATTTTGCAGAAAATATTTTAAGTGATATTTTTCACAACTTCTAAGTAGTATCCTAATGATATATAGATTTAACACAGTCCTTATCAAAACACCATGAGCTTTTTTCCCCACAGAATTAGAAAAAAATAATTTTAACATTTATATAGACCCAGAATAGCCAAAACAATCTTGGGCAACAAAAGCAAAACAGAAGGCATTACAATTCCAGACTTTAAGTTCTACTACTAAGCCACACTAGTAAAAACAGCATGGCACTGGCACAAAAACAGACACATTGACCAATTAAATAGAATAGAGGAAGCAGAAATAAGCACTTCTAGCCATCTTATTTTCAACAAAGGGGCCAATAATATATGCTCCAGAAAAGATAGCCTCTTTAGCACACGGTACTGGGAAAACTGGTTATCCACATGCAGAACAATGAATTTTGATTTATAGCTCTTTACCCTGTATTAAAATCAAATAAAAATAGATCAAAGACCTCTATATGAAAAAGAAATGCTAAATTTAGTGGAAGAAAAAAATTGATAAAACCCTTGAAGGCATAGGCACAGGCAAAGACTTCCTGTCCAGAAACTCCAGATAACATCAAGAATCAACAAATGAGAGTATATCTCATTAAAAATCTGCACAGCAAAGAAAATAACCAGCAGAGTGAAAAGACAACATATACAATGGGAAAACAATTTACCAGCTGCTTCTCAGACAGAGGACTGATGCTTGTAATAGAAAAAAAAAAAAAAAAAAAAAAAAAAAAAAAAATTAGCCCTCCAAGAAAATACTGAGTTAAAAATGAGCAGTTGAAATGAATAGATACTTCACAGAAAAAGAAATATAAATGACCAATCAGTACATGAAAAGTTGTTCAGCGTCTTTGTTCAGCGTCCAAGACTCATACAACAACAGATCTGGCCAAGTTGTGAGGAAAAAGGAACTATTCTATATTATTGGTGGGAAAATAAACTAGTACAACCACTTTGGAAATCAGCAGGAGATTTCTCAAAAAACTAAAAATGGAAATTTTATTTGACCCAGGAGGACCTCTTCTGGGAATCTCCCTATATGAGCTAAAGTCATCCTACTATGCTGATACATGCATACCCATGTTTACAGCAGCGCAGCTCACAGTAGCTAAATCATGGAAGCAGACTGGATGCCCATCAGCAGATGAATCGATAAAGAACATGTACACATATATGTATGCATGTGTCTGTCTCAGCCATAAAGACCGAATTTTTAGTCATTCATAGGAAAATGGCTGGATTTTGAGACTATAATGCTAAGAGGAATGAATCACTTACAAAAGGTTAAATATTGCATGGTTTCTCTAACACAAGAGATTCAAAATATAATTTAAAAAGCAAGTAGAGAGCCATGTTAAGAAACAGGGAGGCAGACACTGTAGAGATGGGCCGGGGATCTGGGGAAGGAGCGGGGCAAGGGAGTAAAAAAAGATCAGGATGCAAAATATATAGGTATCAATTTTCTGGAATTACAGGTGTGAATCATCACTCCTGTCTTCCAAGAAAATAAAGATTATAAATGTAAAGATTTAGCCCTAGGGATTTTTTTTATGGCTTTATTTATAATAATGAAAGCTTGGGAATGACCCAAATAACCAGTTTTAGGGTTGCTTCAGCTATTCCTCAGCTCCCCATCCTTCATGCTTCCTCTGAATTTTCTAATGTCGGTCAGTGTCCCTACTGAGGTGTGTGCTTAGAAGTGGACCCAGCCCTCCAAGGGAAATCTGACCTCGCAGAGCACAGTGGGCTCAGGATCGCTCTTAATCTGACACGGAATTTCTATCAACAGAGGCCAAGTTTCTGACCATGATGTTCTGAGGCTGCCAACCCCCATGTATTGTCAGCTGGTGCCAGTCTCCAGCCATGCTTGTGTCTTTTCAGGAGTGACAGTAACTGTTCTTTACAGAGATGGCTATTCATGGAGACTCCTTTTCTTTGCCTGACAGAAGCCCAGTGTTCTAGCTCGAAGAGGGAATCTAATGCCAGCATGTGAGTCACACTCGCTTGCTACTGCTCTTTTCCAGAGTTTTGGGTCACTGGTTGCACATCAGTACCTCCTTTCCCCCTGCCCAGCTTGCACTGTCATCTTGCCCCATCCACCATGCTGTGCTGGAACACCCTGTTCTCTGCATCTCATGAGTCTGCACTGTGATTTTGTGCTGGAAAAAGCTGAGTCTGTTGCTGGTGTCCAGATTGAGCAAAGAAGGCTGATCCACAGTCAGCAATGTGCAGTTTACTACATCTTGTGATTAGTTCTTGACTTCATATTGTCTGGAGTATTTCCAGTTGCTATATTTTTTGGGAATATTTTCTGAGTGCTATGCAAATGTCAGGTAGTTTTTGACTTGCCATCATTAATCAAGTTGTCAAAAGAATAAAACCTTTTTACTTCATTTATCTTCAACTGGCATTTCCTTATTGTTTTAGGCAAGATAGGTTTGTGAAGCTCTTGGTTTATTTCGATTCTTTCTTCACGTATATCCCGAACAAGGGTGTACATTATGCTTATGACCTCACATAGGTGCTATGTAAAAGTACCTATATACAGTTGTTTGGGCATCTTATTTTCTGCCTTTTCTCACCTTCAACTTTTCCAAAAACTTCCTAGAACTGATGTACACTCTGTCTTCCCTTTGGAAAGCCACATTGCAGTTGAGCATGTTAAAGGCTCTGAGAAATCCTGCAGTCAACAAAACTCTTCACATCTGCTACTACAACAGTTCTTGAAATTATTTGACTAAATAATTTTTTCATGAAGTATCAGCATTCCACAGAAATATTGTCATGCAGAATATATTTGGACAGCAGCATCAAATTTTCCCAACATTGTCAAGTTTCCTTTTTTTTTTCTAGAAGGTGTCGCTGGAAGCTGGTCTTAGGCAAAACTGCGATGAGAGGCTGGGTTTGTGTGTGGCTTCTGAGCTTTGTTCTCAGTGTCCTCCTGTCCTGACGGGGAGCGCATCCCCAGTCAATGCCTTATCACTCCTGCTCCCCGGACTCTGCCGAGTTCTAACCTTCCTGGCATCTTCCCTGAACTTGTCTCTTTCTTTCTTTCTTTTTTTTTTTTTTTTGTGCCAGAACTTGCCTAGTGTACATATTATTTCCATATGAAATGGGAAAGGATGAGATCACTGAATTCATGTCAAAGTTCTGATAGAGCATATGAGCTTTATGTATTTTCTTTGCCATTGGGACTGTTCTCAGTTTTACAAAAAGATGCTTTCTAAGCTCTCATCCACATAATGGATGAGATATGTATCCTAGCCAGAGACAGCTGGGCACAATCATAATGCTAAGTCTAAGCCTAACCCAAACCCTAACCCTAACCCTAAGCCTAGTCCTAAACCTCACTCTAAGCCCACTCACTAGCTGAGGGACCTTGAATAAAATGATTTAACTTAAGGATCTGTTTTAAACAATGAAATAGTGGATAATAATTATCTGATGGGGTTCTGAGGATGAAAGAATATCATGATTGTAAACTCAAGGTTTAATAGTCAGTAGCTGTTGTTACTTAGCTATGATTCCATTGCCTATGATTTTTTCCCTAACATTTAATTATAACATTAAATTATATGAAATATTTTAAACACACAGAAAAGTTAAAATAAATAGATAGTGAACACAGAAACTTACCACCTAAATCCCACCAACCTCTTCTGGTGTTAAATGCTAGAAACACTCTACCGCTGAGCTACATCCATATCCATTACCATTTAAATACTATAAATAATATTCTGTTGTATTTGACTTATTCACATATCCATTCTTTATCCCTATTGCTTTTAATGCATTTCAAAGTTGCAGACCTCTTCCCCCTAAATAATTAAACCTTAATATCATTAACTAGAGTTCAGTATTTGCTTAATTCTTCTTTTAGGAGGGTGTTTAAAATCTACATACAGCCAAGTGTGGTTGTACACACCTGTAATCTTAGCACTCAGAAGGCTGAGGCAGGAGGATCACTGCAAGTTCAAAATCAGCCTGGGCTACATAGTGAGTTCAAGGCCAGCCTGGACTGCATAGTGAGACCCTGTCTCAAAAAAACCCCAAATCTACATACAATGAAATGCACATAAGTACACCAGCTATGTAACCCAGGCCTCTTGAAGATCTAGGATATTTCTGTAGCTCAGGGGAGTTCCCAAAGCCTCACGTAGACAGCGGCTACCTTCACTCTAACCCCTGAGTATTGCCTGTGATTTTCAGACCTAGGATTTCAGGCAGTGATTATAGACCACTGCTAGGAATACTTGAGGGCTAGAGAGATGCAGGATATGCTTATCACACCACGAATGGGGGAGCTTAGTGTAGCTTTTCCATAAGAAATTTTATAAATTTTGCAGTAAAAAAATATAGACATTCATTCAGCAAATGTTTAGTTACAGAGACCTTATTAAGTATGGAGGGAGATGTTCTAGAATCAGATGAATATAACAGAGCATTACAGAGGCTCTGATAGAAATAGGTGTAGGGCATAGGGGAAGCAACAAGAAGAGAGTGATTTAGGTCTTCCAGACTGTGGGATAGAGGCCAGGAAAGCCTCAGTGAGAAGGTAATATTGTAAAAGATGAGTTAGCGTTTTCTAGGCGTCGGTGAAGTAGGAGAATAGGAAAAGAGTGAACGGGCCAAAGAGGAAGGGAAGAGCTTGGTGTGGCGGGGAATGGTTTTACTAGGCTGGAGCAAATGTTGTGAAGATGAAGTCACAGTGGTATGTGGAGGGGACTTTGCATATCATGTGAATGACTTGGTTCACTCCGTAGTGGGGGGGAATTTACAGTGTTTATTACTTTAGGAAGGGATTACACTCAAGAGACAGAAAATTTTCAAGCATTGCAGTTAAGATGTTTAAGAATATTTTATGATCAAATCAAAATCAGTTTTTCCTTGTATAATTAAACTCTAGTTTTATATTTATATTCTGATTCTTCCTCTGTTTTTCTAAAATGACAGGTAGTGTGCCAGTATTTGAAAAATCCTAATGTATCCGACTCACTGCTGCTGCAGGATATTTTCCAAGCTCTGAATGTATATTATAATTATTCAGGCCAGGCAAAATGCCTGAATATTTCAGAAACAGCAACCAGCAGTCTGGGGATCCTGGGCTGGAGCTATCAGGTGAGCATATATGATTTCCCAAGCAGAATTTACTTTTTACTGATTCAGCCATGCTATGACAGAGACTATACAAGATGTCACCTTGCCTACACTGGGTTCTTATGCGATATTCTGTGAGACCAGGGTTAACTTTCCTCATTTATTCAGCTATTCGTGTATTTAAGCATCGCTAAATATATGGAGAGTGCTTGCCATACTTTAGGCATTCTTCTGGACTTCAAAGGTATAGAGATATTTAATACATGCTCTTACTGTCAAATACAGCCTGGTAAGAAAGATAGGCAATTAATCTAATATTGTGATAGATCTTGATGGATCCTATAAAGAAAGCACTTTATGGATAAGTGTAAGAAAAGGGAGTGTAATTCAATTCTCTCTGAGTCTTCATCCTTTCATCTACCAAATAATAAAACAAACTAATAATAATAGTGCTTTCTTTCAGAATTGTCTTGAAGTTTAAATCTGATGACAGACGTGAAGGAAGGAGACGTGTAAAGAAGGAATGCGTAGTTCTAATTCTGACTGCTCAGCCAGTCTTCCAGTGAATAAGTGTGGCATAGCTGTAGGGGCAGGGACCTTACAGATTGATTGTCTGAGTTCAGAACTTGGCTTTGCTCCTTTCTAGCTAAATGGTCTTGGGTAATTTATTTCATCTCATTGTGCCTCATTTTCTCTTTGGATCTTTTCTTTTCTTTCTAGGCCTGCACAGAAATGGTCATGCCCTTTTGTGCTAGTGGTATCGACGACATGTTCGAACCTTTCTTGTGGGACTTGAAGCAGTTTTCTGATGAGTGTTTTAATAAGTGGGGTGTGAGACCAAGGCCCTCCTGGATCACTACTTTGTATGGAGGGAAAAACATTAGTTCACACTCGAACATCGTTTTCAGGTGAGCTGGTCCCAACAGGAGCTTTGGTTGATGGAGGCACCTGTAGAATAACTGATAAAAAAGAACTAGAAAAATGCTAGGCAATAAAATAATAGCTTTTTTTTTTTTCTTTTTTAGCTCCTTGAAAGACTGGACACTGAGAGTTTCAGTTTTATGCTGTGTTAATGATAGATCAGTATTTAATAAGTACTTTCGAAGTATTCATTCTGTTCTGTTCCATGTACCACTTTAAATAAATGACCTAGTGGAATCTTCCTAACCATCCTGTAGTGTAACTATTACAGTCTCTTTTTTACTGAGGAAGGAATTGAAAGTCATCATGTTCTGTCACATGTCAAATCCAAGAAAGGAACTGATCCAGCCAGATTTCTATATTGACTTGTCTGACTCCAAACCCCAAAGTGGTCCTTATTTTATTCCTTAAGAAATGACACATTCAGTGTCAGTTCATGTCAGAGTTAGTGGAGTTGACTCTATGGGTATCTGACTGTGACTTCAAATTTTTTATGTTTGGCTAAGCTGTCAATTATTAAGACAACAACCAGTTAATAAAATAGTTCTCCAAATCAATGTGGAGATAGGAGAGAAATACCAATATATACCTCTTAACCAGAGCTGTTGTAAAATTGTAAATGTCATTTTGTGGGTGTGTGTAGGGAGTGGTACTGGAGATGGAACCCAGGACTTTCACACTGAGCTGAATCTCTAGCCTTTTTAAAAATTTATTTATTTTTTATTTTAAGAAAGTGCCTCACTAGATTGCTAAATTGCCCAGGCTAAGCTTGATCCTCCTGCCTCAGCCTCCCAGAATGCTAGGATTATAGGCATGTGTCACCATGTTCAGCTCCTTCAGTCCTTTTATAAGGCACTAATCCATTTATAAGGATGGAACGCTCTGACATTAATCACTTGCCCAAAGCCCCACCTCTTCTTACTACCACAGTGGGAATTAAATTTCAGCTCATGAATTTTGGGAGACATCCAGGTCATAGCAGTTTCCAAACTCATCTTAGTCCTAGCAGAGATGGAAGAACTATGGGACTTTGTTGCTTTTCTTTAGGAGCTTATTCCCCTGGGGTATTTTCATGGATTTTTCTAATATTCTGATCTTTAAGCTCATTTATTTTGCTTTGAACTTAAACTGTAGCTCAGGTTGAAGTCAAATTAGCTGGAGTCTTTAATCTTTGTATGAGGTTTTATTAAATGAATTTTAGTCTAGGAGATTTTCCTTTCTCATTGGGTTGAACCATTACAGGTAAGTATTTTAGTTACTATTTGCCCTTTTATAGTATTTTTCTCAGACTTTCAAAATTAACATCATCATGTGTCATCTTCACTGGAGGAGGGGGCAGATTATGTGAGAAAAATTTTGGGAATAGTACGGAGGCCAGTCGATAGAGATGGTAGCCCAGTGTAAGAAATGACTCCCTAAAAGAGCCGTGCAAAGGTAGAATGAGCTTTTGTAAATGCAGTTCTTTAATTCTTTGCTCCTCAGTTTCATCTTCTGTGAAAGGGGAATAATAATACCACTCACCTCAAAGAGTTGTTGGCCCAGATCTGGCAAAAATATATGGTAAAAATATTTTTTGAATAAATAAATGGAAGTATATTTTCCACCTTGCACTTTACATTGTAACCACAAGACATTCTATATTTGTTCCTGAATGTCCCCACTTTTTCCTTTTTTTCTTAAGACTCAGGCCTCCTCCAAGAAATCTTTCCTGATTCCTCTGGGAGGCATAGATATCTACCAGCCCCGTAGCTCCTCTGGGACCTGTGAATACCTCTTACCACTCTGCAGGGGAAAATCTGTTTGCATCCCTCTGCCCCAGGCGATTGCGAACGTCTCAGAGTCAGGGCCTTCATCTTAATCTCCCTGTGCTTTTTGCACTTGCTACCTGACCAGCACATAGCGGAGGTCTGTGAATGTGTGTGTGTGTGGATAGGACACAGGATGAAGCACATACTCCAGAAGGCTTCGGGAGCATGTGGAAGTTTAAAGCAGGACTGTGTGAAGATGCTAATTCCTTGCTCTGTAGCTGCAAGTCTATTTTTACAAAGAAATCTTTTACTTCACTCTGCTAGGTATGAAAAGTCCAATGTAAAAAATGTTGTTATCAAAAAATTCTTTTTTTTTCTGAAGAAAATGCACCCCTCCCCCCACCCTGAGTAATTCTCTGTTCTGTGCTCTGAGTAAGAGAATGTCTAAGGGACCCCATGGAAGGTGTCCAGGCTTCTCACTGTAGCCTGTCTCACACAAACCCAAGTATGTCTGCTGCTTGGGTTGGACAGTTCAGTCTGCTGCTTAAGATTTGTCAGTTAAGACTCAGGTCAAATAGACCTTGGTGTCTTTCTGCCTCTTCCCTGAGTTAGCTGTGCAGCTTTGGGCAAATTGCCAATTTATAAATTTGGAAATCATCATGACCACCCAATACCATTACTTAAGGAGTACATAGATTGTCATGGAAGTAAATGCCACAGGGCAGAGACTTTGTCTGTTTTGTTCTCTGCTGAATCTCCTGTGCCCAACGAGTGCCTGCCATATCGGGGTCACTCGGTAAACACTTGTGGGGTACGTGAAGCCTTAAGAGATAGTAGGTGCTAATAGTCTCATTTAGGCAAATTAAAAAAAAAAAGATCTGCATTGGTTTTGTTTGGATGAAGCCCCTTGCCCCAACTCTTGGATCGTTTTATCAATGGCCGTTCCTGGTCATTTAAATATAAATTCAGAAGGAGTCCCTGAGGAGCAGGCTAGTTGACATCATTTCTCAGGGAAATTAATTGTTGCCAGTGATTAAGGGAGGCTGGTTGTTGGGAATTTTACCCAGGCATCTAGATTCTCTCATGAAAGCCAGTATTTTTTTTTTTTTTTTTTTGTAGATTTCCCGATGATTGTTTTAGCTTTCACATGTCTAAGACCAAGAAATTCAAGTCCATGTGCATCTTAGGTCTCTCAGCAACCCCAAACACTGTTGCTAAGCCACTAGGTTGTTTCAGATGACCTTTTAAATCAAATGCAGTTTGCTTATTATGTGGCTGTTGGGATAGATTTTTTGTTTTGCAAATAATGGAGAGTTTCCTATCTGGGTTGGGCCTGTCAGATTGGAATAATGATAAAGGCTATTTGTTCATTTAAGAGAATCCAACCTTTGTTTAGTTTACTTTGCACATTTATCTGGTAGTTGAAAACTATGACTCTTATTTTCCATGGGAGGTTTCCGTTTGATTTTTAATAAAATCAAAACAGTGCACTTTTGAAGTAGATTTTAAAAAGTAATGGTATCATTATGTTATACTTAAATTCTTTTTTAAAAAGACATGGTAATAGAATAAGGAATTTAAAATTGTATTTCTGCATATACTTAATATACCTAAATGTTTATTTTTTTCATTTACTTTGTACATTTGCCTAGGAAAAGTTGATGACATAAGTATCCTACGTTTTTATGGGAAACTCTTTCACATCCATTTTCCTGATTCATTTACCAATTGGAGGTATTAACAGTTCTCATGCTTACAGGATATGCTTATGATATGATTACACAGCATACTTGTGTTGTATTTCATAGTTTTTAGCTTATTTCTATACATATTTAGTTGGGTCTCACAATGTCTCTGTGAGAAAGGGGCATTATTTTTCTTTTCTGTAGTACGTGTATGAACTGAGGTACACAGAGGTCAGTTAACTTACCCAAAGTCATACAGATAATAAGGATATACAATTTAGATCTGTGAGGTGGGCACGGTGGTGCATGCCTGTAATCCCAGCACTCCAGAGGCTGAGGCAGGAGGATCATCACCAACCTGTGCTACATAGTGAGTTCAAGGCTACCCTGAATGGCACAGTGAAGCTCTATCCCAAAAAAAAAAGGAACTAAAACAACTTAGATCTGCAGACTTAGTTCATTGCTCTTTCCACTACTACACATAAGTGAAGTTTGATTTGTGTGTTTGTGTTAATTATTTATATAAACTATGCTTTTCCATGTTGAAAAGCACTAAAGAGATTTTCATGTTCATGAACCTATATACAATTATAGATCTCTATGGAGGACATTGAGAACAAGGCCATAGACAATTAAACATTTAAATTCTTTTTTCATTCATTCAGTAAATATTTGTCTCCTACTGTGAGTCCGGCCAGGTTCTAGGAACTGGAAATATGGTAGATGACAAAACAGGCAATAACTCATGCCCTTGTGGAGTTCTAGTGTGACAGGTAATAAAACAAAATAGTATCTATGAACATGCTAGAAGGACAGAAGTGCCAGGAGAAAAAAAATGAGTCAGGGAGGGGTCAAGGAACTGTCAGGAGCAGGGAAAAGCATTGAGGTTCTATATTAGAGTGAGCAGGAAGGCCTTACTGAGGGATGCGTTTAGCAGACTGATGGGGAAGTGAAGGAGTCAGCTATGACGTTAGTGGGATGAGGTAAGGAAGGGCACAGAGGTAAGTCCCAGCATGCTCTCTTTCTGGCAGGGTGATGAGGTCAGTATGGCTCCAGTGAAGTCAGGAGGAGGAGGATTAGCAGGAGATAGCAGAGAGGCATCTGAGGGGACAGGTCATGTAGAGATTTGCAAGTTCTGGTAAGAACTTCGGTTTCTTTTTTTATTTTATGAAAAAATAAAATTTTATAACAAAGTAATAAGAGAATAACAATAGTTAATGCACTGTGTATTGAATGAAATAGGAAAACTTGGGGTGTTTTAAGCAGAGGGTGATAGAACCTGATTCAGATTTATAGCGTAGCTTTGATTGCTTCATTGATTGTAGGCATAAGAATGGAAGGAGGAAGAATATTTGAAAGGCTGTTGCAGAAATTCAGACAAGACAATGATGACTTGGATCGGGGGCTTATGAGATATGGTCTGGGTATATTTGAAGATATGGCTGACAGAGGGTGTTGACAAATGGGGTGCTAGACAAAAAATTAGATTAAAGAATGACACCAAAGTTTTTAACCTGATCAACTGAAAGGACAGAGTTGCCATTGACTTATTGGGAAGTTGGTGATGGTGGAGCTACTTAGGCTTGGATCATTGCAGGAGCTTTTTGGAATCTGTATGTTTGAGATATCTGATTAGAGTTCCATGTAAAAGTGTTATGTAAGCAGTTAAACTTTGATTCTAAGGTGTTCCACAAAGGTCTGGGGAAGATATACTATTTGTTAGTTTTATTAGCTTTCTGTCACTATAACAAAATACTTGAGATAGCCAACTTACAATGGGAAGGTTGGCTCACAGTTTTAGATTTCAGTTCATGATTGGTTTAGGGGCTGTGCAGGAGTGCATGGTGGAATAAGCTGCTCCCTGGATGATAGCTGGGATGTGAACTAGAGAAAGAGACCAGATCACACATTTGAGGGCGGGCCCCCGAGGACCTAAAGCCTTCCTGCCTTTTAACAATGCATGGGCTTCTGGGGGACATTTAAGATCCAATCTCTGTATACATTGTACTTATACCTGAATTTTTTTGATGATTAATACCTTATGGAAATAATTTCATATATCTGATAAGTGGCCTTGAAGTCTTTTTGGTTTCAGGCTTTGTAAATGGAGTGTGCATTAAATAAATGTCAGAACATACAAAAATGTTCTATTGGTGATTTCAAGTGATAAATACCCAAAAAACATGAAAACACACATCAGTATAAAAACTTGTATGTGAGAGTGTTCATATTAGCAATATTCATAATAGTCAAAAAGTAGAAGCAATATAGATGGGTCTCAACGGATGAATCGATGAATAAAATATGGTCTATCCATACAATAGAATATTACTTTTCAATAAGGAGGAATGATATACTAATTCATGCTCCAACATGTATGAAACATGAAAATGTTGTGCTGGATGAAAGAAGGTAGTAACAGTGACTATCAGTTTTATGATTTTATTTATATGAAATATGCAGAAGATAAATCTATAGAGACAGAGACTAGATTAGTGCTTGCCCAGGGCTGAGAGTGACGAGGTGTGTGTGTGGGTGAGGACAACATAGAGGAACTGCTAGTGAGTATATTGGTGGGGGCAGGGGATGCAAATGCCCTAAAAATGATTGTGGTGATGGTTGCACAGCCCTGAACATACTAAGAACCATTGAACTACACCTTTTAATGGGGTGAATTCTGTGGCTATGACTCATATCTCAAAGCTGTGAAAATACTGTTAGGGGTACTATCAGCATTCTTCAATTTTTCTTAACTCAGCTAACTAAAGAACCTGTTTCAATGAGTGATCTTGTTTACATCACTCTGAAATGTGTTGAATGAACCGGTAAGAGCTAATTAACCTAGTAGTGCTGTGCTTTCTTAACTTTAAAGCTAATGTAAAGTGAAGGTCTTTCAATAATGCCCCTGGTTTCTGATTCCAGATCCTGGGGACTTTTTACAATTCCATTATCCCATTTTCCAAAGTATTGTATCTATTGAACAAAACATTTGGCGTGCCTTCCTTTCTCTCTTTTCTTTCTTTCTTTTCTTTCTTTCTTTCTTTCTTTCTTTCTTTCTTTCTTTCTTTCTTTCTTTTTCTTCCTTCCTTCCTTCCTTCCTTCCTTCCTTCCTTCCTTCCTTCCTTCCTTTTTTTCTTTCTCTTTCTTTCTTTCTAAAGTAAAAGAATGAAAACATATTAAGAAACTACACATACATTTACAAAATAACACAAAAATGATACAAGCAGTACAGAATTTCAGACAAGACAAGGTGATAGGAAATTAACAGTGGTGGCTGTATTACATATTGATATCTTCAGATTGGTTACTCAGATAAATATAGGCATGTAAGATTGATCGAACAATTAAACACTAACTGTTCCTTTCAATAAAGCAATAGAAATAAGTAGTTTTTTTTTCTTTTGGCAAAGGGATAATTTGATCTGTGAATATAGATTTTTTTTCTTTATCACTTTAGTAGTTGGGTTCTGGAAAAGCAGGAAGCCAGTACTGAAGAATTCCTATGCATCTGAATCTTTTTTTTTTTCTTTTTTTGCTGTTTTTCTGGTACTGGGAATCGAACTCATGACCTCGCACTTGCCAGGCAGGTGCTGTGCCGCTGAGCTAAATCCCCAGCCCTACATCTGAATCTTATTAAATTCTTCCACATGCACCAATTGGTTTAATCCTTACAACCTTATCAGGTAGACTTTGCTATCTCCATCAGATGATGGATATAAAGCACCTTTCTATATGACGAGTTAGATCCTCAGATCAAATCTCTCAGGCTAGGAGTTTATGATTTTAAGTGTTAGGCATATACTGGATTTCTCCTATTTTATTTGAGTTTAAATATGAAATATGAAAAATGAATAACCTTAATTTTTCTCCTTTTCCTTATATGCAGTAATGGTGACCTAGACCCCTGGTCAGGAGGCGGAGTAACCAAAGACATCTCAGCTACCTTGGTTGCAATCACCATCGCAGACGGGGCCCATCATTTAGATCTTCGAGCCAACAATGTCTACGATCCTGCGTCTGTGCTGCGCGCGCGCTCCTTGGAAGTGAAACACATGAAACAGTGGATCGGAGACTTCTATGTCTCTGATGCCAGAAGGCAGCATTGAACAGCCTTCTATGTCTCTATGCCAGAAGGCAGTGCTGAACAGCCTGGATCATTTTCACCTTTTTTATGTTCCTCCTACCCACATTCTCATTCACTTTGATTTTCTACATGTTACTACTTTTGCTTGTTTTTTGTTAGATTTGGTGGAGCTGAAGTTGGGGTGGAAGAGAGGGTAATCTAAGTGCGAACAGCATCCCACCACTATGAATGCCTGGGTCCTCACTGTCTTTGTGCTACCTCCAGGAAAAATATAATCATGGCACCTTTAGTACCGTCAATGGCTTTTACAACTCGTGCGGAGTTCCTGACTGCCTTTCATAGGAGACTCACTTCCTTTATTTCTCCACAAGCAGGGATTTCTCCTTGGTTTTGAGGCTGAAATCTCTTTGGCTCGTTTGTAAGACCCCTACCCTCCGCAAAGGAAAAACAGAAGACAGATTAAAAAATGATGTAATTGCAGCTGGTAGGAAGGACATCTGGTGCCAGTCCAGGAAATGGGGCTCATTTCTTTTATACTTGATTTAATAACTTTGAACTGTGCAGCAAATAAAGAATAAGGCTGGACCGTATACCTGTGTGTTGCTTCTGAAGCTTACTGCACTGTGGGAGTGCAGGGTGCCTTAAGCTTGGCTGTTTTGAAAAGTCCTTTAATTTTCTCTTTGTCATTTGGCAACTTCTCTTAGTTCTGGGATATCTGCCACTGTGGTACAGCCAGCAAGAAAGCCAGCCTTTTCCTGCTCCATTTCTCTTTGTTTTGAAGGTCAGTTTTGTGGTAATTTGGTTAATTTCTTGCCAGTTTAGGAAAATGACTGTTTCGCCTTTCGCTTGAAATCAGAATGAGTTCTATGCTGTGGTCACTGATGGTACTTTAAGAAAAAAGCCTTTAAAAATTGGTGAATTGGCTACTCAGTAAGTAGAATGTGTTGAGTTTAACTTTTTTTTTTTTTAAAATTCATTTTCTGGTGGTTGTTACTGCTGTCAGTAAAGCCAGAAGTGTCAGGATGCTGAGAAGCAGGTGCGAGGGGACTTTTCTGTATGGCTTCCAAAAGACAAGCTGACTAATTCATGCAGGCAGCATATTTGACATTAATAAATGGCTGAGCCGTTCCTATTTCCAAGGGGTTGGCTTCTTTCAAGCAGTGCTTACACTGAGACCTTTCTTCAGAAGAGCTTTTCTAGGATAATAAATAGAGTTCGATCAAAACCTTTCAGGGACACAGACTAACAGTCCCTACTCTGTTGAAAGATTTCTTCTTCCCTGTTTTCTATTTTCTTTACCCTGCCTTGGGAACATTTTCTGGTTTTAAAAACTACACCTTGAGCTGGATCATTTCAAAAGCAGTTACTTTTTTAAAAAGTACAGATATGGGTGAGAGATTGATATTTGCTTTACTTTCCCTGGCCTCTGGGAGATACAGGAACATTTTTGTCTTGTTTTGGAAGTCTTCATTTCTCCTCATGATGAGGTGTCCTTTGAAACAGTTGGTCCCTATTTTTTATTTCAGCATCAGAGGGCAGTCTATTGGGATGTGAATTTAAAGGTTAAAAACAATACTAGTTTTTATTCTTTGTCAACCAAGAAGTTATGTAGTACAAAGTATTAGACTTAACAGAGGATATTCTTACTACTTATTTTAGGATTGTAGGCTCTTTTCCCTGAAACCTTTTTACTTGATTTGAATCTTTAAAATACTGTGTCATTTCATTTAATGCTGATTGTTTGGATAAATTACATTTACAACTGAATGAAAGAAATGTCTTTTTTTTTTTTCCTGCAAGTGTAATTTGTTCCTATCACTCTAGTCATATTGTGCATATAGGCAGCAGCTTGAACTGAAGTTAGCTTAATCTAAGTTAGTTAATACTTAATTTTAAATTGAAACATTATTAGAACATCAAGTAAGCCTTATTGAAAGTTTATTGCTGGGTACGGTGGTGGGCATGTGTAGTCCCAGCTATATAGGAGGCTGAGGCAGGAGGATCATGCTGTTAGGAGTTTAAGGCCAGCCTGGGGGAGTGGCGAGTTTATCCTTCTAATTACTAGACTATGTTTTGACACACACATACCCCCCGACACCCCCGACACAGATACAGAATTGTAGTGCTTTTTATTTTCTCTTTTTGTTCATCTGCTTTCCTTAGGGGATCTATAGAGTTAGAAATTATCCAGAGGAGCGAGTGTCCAAACCAGCATATCAAAGTGGAGGCACCTTGGATGTCATGCCCCACCCCATCATTTTGTAGGTAATGAGATTGTAGCTCAGAGAAAAAGGGCTTGCCTAAGCCCTAATACCTCATTTCTTATTAGTGTATGCTTGTGATACATAGTAATTACGTTCACTATGGGCAGTTGGTGCATATACATGCTGTGTCTTGATTGTTTTTATTCTCCTGCTTTGCTGTCTGCTCTTCTGTCGCCTCCCATCCTCAGATTGCCTTCCTGTTGCCACAGAGTCTACCTCCTACTTCCTATCATCTGTCTTTCATTTTGTTCTTTAAATTGTTTATATTTTGAGTTTCTTGTCTAAGAGAAACCATGCAACATTTAACCTTTGGTATTTAGTTTATTTCCTTTAGCATTATGAACTCAAGATCCACCCATTTTCTTACAAATAACTGAAATGTAACCATTTTTATGGGCCAAGTAATATTCCATTGTGTGTATATACCACCCTTTCTTTATTCATCTGTTGATTGACATGTAGTCTGCTTCCATGATTTAGTTATGATGAATTTTGCTGCTATAAACATTGTGTACATGTATCACTGTAAGATGATGTTCTTAACACTTTTGGAAAGATACCAAGAAGAGGTATAGCTAGATCCAATGGAAATTCCATTGTGATTTCCATCATGATCACACTAATTTACATTCCTACTAACAGTGTAGGAGCATTCCTTTTTCTCTCTAGGCTCTCCAACATTTGTTGTTTTTTGAGGTTTTTTTTTGTTTGTTTGTTTTTTGGTTTTTTTTTTCTGGTACCAGGAATCGAACTCACAACTTGTGCTTGCCAGGCAGGTGCTGTGCCACTGAGCTAAATCCCCAGCCCCTGTTTTTTGAGTTTTTGATGGCACCATTACTAGAATAAAATGGAATCTCGTTGTTTTGATTTACACTTTTCTGATGGCAAAAGGTGCTGAAAAATTTTTATTGGAAATTTCTTACTGGAATTTTCTGTTCTGCATTTCAATTGCCCATTTTAAATTGGGGCTTTAATTCTGGGATCTAATTTTTTCATGGTCTTTATTCTAGATATTAGTGTAGATAATAGCTGACAATATTTTTCCCATTCTGTAGGTTATCTCTTTTACTGTGTTGTTTCCCTTGCCCTGTAGAAACTTTCAAATTTGACACAATCCATTTGTTGACTCTTGATATTATTTCTTGGGAAGTTGGAGTTCTGTTCAGAAAATTCTTGCTTATGCCTATGTCTTCAAGAATTGTACTTATTTTACCTGCTAGTGGTTTGTTTTAATATCTAGGTCTTTGATCCATTTTGATTTGAGTTTAATACAGGGTAAAAGATAAGGGTCTAGATTCATTCTTCTGAATGTGGATAACCAGTTTTCTCAGTGCTATTTGTTGAAGAGACTGTGTCTTTGTTACTTTTCTTGTTGCTAAGACAAAATATCCAACATTCACCTTAAAGGAGGGAAGGTTTATTTTGGCTCACAGTTTGTAGAGGTTTCATAATTAACTAGTTTCAGGACAGGGTGGCAAGGAGAGGAGCATGGTAGAGGAGAAACAGTCCGTGGCAGGGTAGGCAGGAAGCAGCAAAGCATCAGCAGCAGCCACAGTCGCAGCAAGCCTCCCTTTATATTCCATCCAGGCCAGAAGCGTATTGATTAATGCCACCCACGTGCAGGTGGGCCTTCCCATTATCCACACTCAGAACTATGCTAAACAGACAGTGGACTACTTTAGTTATCACACACCCTTAGTCCCAGTACCACACACTCGTGATCCAGCCATCTTCAAAAATGCCCCTCCTATGAGTTCATGAAACTTTAGGGGGACACTTAGATACAAGCTATAACAGGCTGGTTTTTCTCTGCATATATTTTTGGCTCCTTTGTTAAAGATAAGATGGTTGTTTCAGCATCCTCAGTTTTGTTCTGTTGACCCATATGTCTGTTGCCAGCTATTTTTACCACTTATAACTTGAAATCCAGGATTGTGATGCCTCTTGCTTTCCTTTCTTCCCCCTCAAGATTACTTTGGCTATTCTCAGTCTTCTCTGGCTCTATATAAATTTTAGGATTTTATTTTCTAGCTCATCATAGTTCATTTTTGGAAGAATTGGACTTGACTCCATATTTTGTTTCATTTTACTTGTGTAGCTTAATCTTTCTTTGGATTCAAACATAATCTGACCAAACCACCTGAAAAGAGGGGCTTCACTGAGGTCATGTAAGAATTTCTCCAGGACTTGGGTTAGTAGGCATCATAATAACAGAATGTAACTGGGGTGTGGAAAGTCAGTAAGTCAAGATGGAAATGTTCTATTTCTCTGGTCTTCGGCTTAAGTCACCATTGTTGACCTGTAGGTTAAATTTGTATCTCAGATGTTGATAGTTCAGCCAGCCTCCTAAAGTGTATGTCAGGATTAGGCAAAGGGCTTCCAAAAGTGCTATTTGGTGAGCCCCAACCCTGAGTTTCTAATCTGTTTTGGGGTAGGTCTTGGGAAGCTGCATTTCCAATGGGCAAGTGATGCTGGAGGAATCACACTTTGCGAACCACTAGTTAAAAGAATTCTAAATTTGAATTTCTTCAGAAAGAACATCCTCCTTCAGGTTGCCTAACTCCTGCTTTCCTGACCCATCCAAGTTTAGGGGCCCTCCCCAAGGCTTTGCTCCTGTGCCTGCTTCACTCTCCCTGCAGACCAGCTTCCTGTTCTCTATTTGTGCAAAACCCTCGGGGACTTCACAGAATGGTATCCTCACTGTCCTTATTGCCTGTAGAGGCGCAGCCCTCAGGGGCTTAGGTTAGGGTAGAACCATGGAAACATGGTTACAGACATAAACTCCTTTGGATGGAAGGGGGAGTTATTAAGGTAACTCATTCACAAGGTTATCTATCTATGAATCTATCTATCTATATCAATCTGTCTATATATCTATCTGTCATCTATCTATTTATCTCACGGTGTTTCTTGGAGCACAGGTGTTCAACAAAAGGCCAGGGGCCAGGGGCTGGGGATTTAGCTCAGCGGCAAAAGCGCCTGCCTGGCAAGCGTAAGGTCGTGAGTTCGGTTCCCGGTACCGGA